GTGCGTGCGCTCGCCAGACAGAGAGAAACATAGAGACAGAAAGCGAGAAATCACCCCCCAGGTGGATGGTCACGCCGCAATCCCTTCTCCTCCATTCTCCCCTCGGGATCTTGGGCACGCACGCACACACGCCCGGAGTGAGTTTTAAGCCACCGGGTCCGGGATGCAAACCGTAGTCGACTACGTGGGAGTCCAACAACATAGCCATTATGCTAACTGCTGGTCCCTGAAATTTCTTTTCCATTTATTTCTCCTGGCAGGACTTGGGGCATGTATGCACAAGTGTCCAGTATGTGTTTCAAATCACCAGGGTTGGGATTCAACCTACAGTTGGCCATGAGGTACCCAGCTCCCTTAATCACTAGGTCATGGGTTGGTCCCTTTTCTTTGTTTTTATACTTAATTCTGTTGTATGAGGGGATCTGAAAAGTTTATGGAAAAATGAAATTAAGGCATAAGTTTATTTTGGTGCAAAAGAAAATCCACCCCATGCAATTTTTTTTCATATTAGTTATTTCCCATGAATTTTTTAAGACCCTTAGAGCAAGTAACTTGATATCTTCAGATTTTTTTCCTGATGAGACATAATGGAATCCTAAAACTGAATCCTAGAGTAGGAATCAGAGTATGTTGGATCTGCTCACAGTAGCATAATCATGGTGTGGCTCACTCTTTATCTATCAATATAACTTATTTCAGAATGATCACATTTCTTAAAGGAGCTTGATCTCAAATATTATTTGTGTAAAGAAAGTAAAGTATCTTCCCTCAAACCTACTGTCACCCAAGACTGCATTGACAAGTTTCTAGTGAAAAGATTAACCACTCTTTTCTGCTTTGCACTTTTAAGATTCCTCTTAGAAGGACCAGCAGATGGCATAGTGGTTATGTCTCTGGATTCCCACATGACCAACTGCAGTTCAGGGCCTGGACTCAGCAGATTAAAACTCAGGCTGGGTGTGTGTGCATGCTTGCCCAAGATTCCGGGAGGAGATTGGAGGAGAGAGGATTGCAGCATGGCATGATTTTTTGTTTTCTGTCTCTCCAGCAAGCATACATGCCCTATAGCAAAAATCTTTTTCTAAAAAAATCCAAAAGATTCCTCCTAGAGTATCAAATTCATTTTAGGATATTGGATTTTAGGAGGATCCCAGCATCTTATATGGTGTCTTTCAAACAGTTTTGAATATAACTCAGAGTAAGAAATATATATTTTAAATTTTATACTGTGTGTGTATATTTGCATGTATATCTTATGTGTGTCTTTCTGAAAAGTTTAAAATTCACTCTTTACTTTCATTTTTTTAATTTACAGAGGGTGTGTGTGCTCACTGGGGAGAAAGCAAGAAAGCACCCTCCCCACCCTGCCATGGAGCATAGTTGTGCTGCAATTCCTCTTTCTATTTATCCCTCCTTTTGAGTTTGAGGCATGCACACACACACACGTGGTGTCTTTTTCAAGCCACTGGTCAAGGACTGGAACTGCATTTGTCAGCCATATGGGATTCTGTTGCCTTCATCACCAAGCCATGGGCTGGCCCTGCCCTTTACTTTAATATATATAATGTTTTCCAGTATTTTATTTCTGCTAAGTGTGGAGAGCAGCCAGTCTGAAAATATGTGTCTACAATGTGTTCATGTCAAACTAGTCCCGGCAGCTAAGTAATATTCAGTCTTGTTTTTGTTCTGTTTTTTTTTTTTTTTTCTTCTATAGGGTGTGTGTACTTGTGGGGAGGTGGTTTAGAGAAAGTACCCCTTCGGGGAATGCCCATTGCCATAATCCCATCTCCATTCTCCTTTCAGGATTTTGGGCATATACACACACTGGGTCTGGGACTCTAACCATGCAGACAGCCATGTGGGATCTAATGCCATAAGCACCATGCCACCTGATTGGCCCAGTCCTCTTATTCTTTTTGAAATTTTGTTTATATAAAGACTCAAACCGAGTACAATCCACATTTTGAAAAAAGTTGGTTTGGAAATTTATAATGACTCTAATAATTTAGTAACCATAAGAATTATCATGGGCCAGCCCTGTAGTGCAGTTGTTAAACACTGTATGGAGGGAGCTTGATTCCACATAGTCCACTACGGTTCAAATACTAGTCCCTGGTGACTTAAAAAACATCCTGGGCATATGTGCATGAATGTCCAGAATCCAGACAAGAGGAAGGAAAGGTGAAAGGGGATTGCAGCATGACAGATCCCATTAGAGGGCATGTTCTCTCTCTCTTGCCCTCTGGCATAAAAAAAGAATTATCATCATTATTATCATAATCACTATCCTTTGATACTAAATAATAACTTAGTTATTTTGTTATGTCTTATCTAAGGAATGGTAGCTGTATATTTATTTAGCATATACTTACTATATCACATAGGAGATTGCAATCCCACATATCAGGGCAATGCTGAAGGCTACACATGCAATTAAAATAACCCAAACAAATGCAGGTCTCTGTGGTATCATTGCTAAAATGGAAAGAAAAGAAGTTCTCAAAAAATTCATTTTTTCTATGTCTTTCAGTTAATATATTTTTAATCTTATTGTAATTACAAATGGAATTGAAGAAAAAATCAGAAATATCTTACAAAATAGCTTTTTTTTCATTTTTTAAAATAGATTTTTGTGATAGGGCAGGTGCAGTTACTGGAGAGACAGAGAGAGAGAAAGTAAGAAATCACTCCCCAGGGGGATGGCCATGCCACAATTCCTTCTCATCCATTCTCCTCTTGGGATTTTGGGGACACACACATACACCATAATGAGTTTCAAGCCGCTAGGTCTGGGGCTCAAACTGTGGTTGACCATATGGAAGTCCAGTGCCTTAACCACTACGACAACTGCTGGTCCCCAAAATAACATTATTAATTAAAAGAATACTAAGGTAGGCCAGTTGCATGATGGTTAAGGCACTTGGATCCCACATGGGCAAATGCAGTTTGAGTCCCAGACCAGTGGCTTGAAAAACAATCTGGACGTGTGTACGTGTGTGCCCAAGGTCCCAAGGTCCTGAGAGGAGAATGAAAAAGAAGGGATTGTGTTGTGGCTCCCCCCCTGGGGTGGGTGCTTTCTCACTTTCCCCTTCTCTCTCTCTCCAGTGAGCACACTCACCCTACATCAAAACTATACCCCCCCCCCAAATTTACTAAGGCTAGATTGCACAGCCTGGGTAAACAACTATAATTTGAATTTCAAAGAATTCCTGATTTTCATTTTTTGTCTACCTTCCTATCCTGTTTCAAAGCTCTCTCTTTTGCTGTGTAGAGATATTGTATCCCTGACACCATATAGCAATGCCTGTCATCTACATAGTTGAAAGAAAAGTGGCTTTCATTTCATTATTCAAATGTTGCTCTGTAGGTCTCATGTGGTGCTGCAATGAAAGGATCTCACAGGACAATTTGGGATGGAATTTCATGAACCTGCATTCCAGGTGTCCGATTTTAAGGCTATAGAATGTGCTAGGAAACCATGGTTGTTCTTTGTAGGCTCAGGTGTGTCATCCATCTTTGTAGTACCTTAAATTAAAAAAAAAAATACAATAAATTATCATTTTCACAAACTGAACAAAAGAGCAATTGGCAAAGTACCTTATTCAAAATCTGACAAAGTGAGATAGCTACTCCTTGTCCCACACTTGGCCTTCCTTCACTTTCTGTCCCTTCGCTGATTCTAGATGAAGAGTTTGACAGGCTGAGCTGCAAAATTGCCCTGAGTTTCACACCTCAGTGGAAAGCCTGCCATGACAAAAATGACCTACCTGGACTATGAAGAAGTTAGGAGAGTAAAATGATTTATTATAGGTTTAGGTAATATGGTGTATGGGTGTTCACTTTGCAGTTCTATCAACTTTTCTGTATTTTTTAACTTTCATAATGAAATATTGTGGAGAGAAAAGAACAGGAGTTACAAGTGGTTTATGTATACTGGGTACTGAAAATTGACCACTGCATTGGGCATCAAGGTCAATTGCAAAGGTAATATTAGCAGTGTGTTGGAGATACAAGTTTGACTGAAATTGGTTCAAGAATGAGAGGAAAAGAATTGGAGACAGTGAGTTTTGGAAATTCTCTTGTTTGCTATAGAAGGGTAAAGAGAAATTGGTGCAGCTCTTAGAGGGGCAAGGCTCATGAGACAGATTCTGACTTTTAAGATGGGAAATTTGACAACATGTTTGTGTGAGAATGAGACAATAAACCACAATCCTACAGTGTCTGTCATTTAAGCTGCTATAACAAACACCATGAACTTGGTAGCTTATACAACAAAAATATATTTCTCACAGTTCTGGAGGCTGGGAGTCCAAAATCAAAGTGCTGGCAGATTTGTTCCCTGGCAGAGGACCACTTTTTGTTTCAAAGATGGCACCTTCTAGCTGTGTTCTCATGTAGTGGAGTGAGTGAGCCAGCTCTCTGGAGTCTCTTTTATAAGGGCACTAATCCCAGTCATCAGGGCTTCACCTCTTTGCCTGCTCACTTCCAAAGGCCCTACCCCTTAATACCATCACAGAGTGGGGATAGGATTTCAGCATTATTATTATGGGGGAAGGTAGGCATCTTGCCACATAACTGAGGGCTAAGGCATACAGGAGAACATTGGTGCCTTCCAGCAGTCTGATTAGACAAAATTCTACCCCCATCTCCATATCAGAACCTACAATTGGGACTTGAAGCCTGAGGATGGCAGAGATCTCAGTTAACCTCTAGAGCAAGCCCTAAAACAAGCTGGTGTTAGAGGAAGGGCTAGAATGTAGGCTTTTTTTGGAGAGGTTTTTGCTATAGGGCGCGTGCGCTCACCAGACAGAGACAGAGAGACAGACAGAAAGTGAGAAATCACCCCCCAGGGGGGATGGCCATGCCGCGATCCCTTCTCCTCCATTCTCCTCTCGGGATCTTGGGCACGCACGCACACGTGCCCAGCGTGAGTTTTAAGCCACCGGGTCCGGGACGCGAACCGCGTTCCACTATGTGGGAGTCCAGCAACATAGCCATTACACCAACTGCTGGTCCCTAGAATGTAGGCTTCTTGAGAGCTTGGCCAGGACTCAAGTTTAGTACCTTGATGATAGTGGTATGAATTGGAGACTGAATGCTCATCACTGAGCTTTTGGAAGGCTGATAATGTACTTGGGGGTCAGAAAGTGGTACAGTAGTAAAACATAATGCTCTGCAGGGCTGACTCACATGGGGAGGTTCTGGGTTCATACCTGGAGACCACTTGGAATATGCTGGGCACATGCATGCCTATTATCTGGGGCTGGCTGGGGCTGGGAGTGGATCATGATATTAAGACTCTATTAGGGACCAGCAGTTAGTGTAATGGCTATGTCGCTGAACTCCCATATAGTTGACTGCAGTTCAAGTCCCGGACCCAGTGACTTAAACTCATGCCAGGCATGTGTGCGTGCATGCCCAAGATCCCAAGAGGAGAATGGAGGAGAAGGGATTGTGGTGTGGCCATCCCCCTGGGGGGGGGGGGATTTCTTGCTTTCTGTCTCTCTGCCTCTCTATCTTTCTGGTGAGCGCATGTGCTCTATAGCAAACAAACAAACAAACAAAACAAAACAAAACAAAAAAAACCTCTCCAAAAAGGAGCACTCTCTGTGCTCTCTTGAAGGAAATGAACTTTTTGAAAAATAGTGTTTGAGATCAACTGATATATTAATCTTTTTTCCCCTATATTTCCTGATATTTTGACATTTTGGGGATTAATGGCCCTGGAGAAACTGCCCTACTCAAGACCAGCCAATTCCTATAAATGATAAACCACTGATCTCTGAGCATGACTTTTTAAAAAAATTTTTAAAAATATTTTGGAGAGATTTTTGCTATAGGGCACGTGCACTCACCAGAAAGACAAAGACAGAGAGACAGAAAGCAAGAAATCACCCCCCAGGGGGGATGGCCATGCCGCAATCCCTTCTCCTCCATTCTCTTCTCGGGATCTTGGGCTCGCACGCACACGTACCCGGTGTGAGTTTAAGCCACCAGGTCCAGGATGCAAACCGCAGGAGGCTACATGGGAGTTTAGCCACATAGCCATTACGCTAACTGCTGGTCTTGACTTTTTTTTTTAATATTTATTTTCATTTTAATTTTTTATTATTCAATTTGACAGGGTGGGGGGGAAGAGGGAGAGAGAGACAGAGAGAGAGAGAGAGGAAGCTGCTAGGTCCAGGACTCAAACTGTGGTTGACCACTGAACTCAGTGCCTCAACCACCACGTTGCCTGCTGGGTGCTAGGCATGACTTTTATATGCCAAGCAATTCAAAGTCCATCTCCCCAAATTGCCACCTTTAACAAGCTCTCACACTCTTGGCCATTATCCACCTGCCCTAATCATCCCTGGGTCAGGTACTAGACAAAGATAGCTCCTTTACCCCATTTTCTTTTCTTTTCTTTTTTTTCTTTTGAGAGTTTTTGCTATAGGGCATGTGTGCTCGCTGGAAAGACAGAGCGAGACAGAGAGACAGAAAACGAGAAGTCACCCCCCCCCAATGGGGAATGGCCACGCTGCAATCTTTTCTCCTCCATTCTCCTCTTGGGATCTTGGGCATGCACGCACATGCACCTGGCGTGAGTTTAAGCCACTGGGTCCGAGACTTGAACCGTGGTAGACTACATGGGAGTCCAGCGACATAGTCATTATGCTAACTGCTGGTCCCTACCCACATTTTTCCCTTGCTCCTCTGCCTCCTTATCAACCCTGCCACTTCCCCATTTGGCTCTCCAGCCTTGCATGCTATGCCTCTTGTTTATTAGAATCTGTGAGTATAAAACGTTTCCTGGGGCCAAACAGTGGTGCAGCAGTAAAACAGCATTTTTTGAAACTGACCAACATGGTAATCTTAGAGGTTCATGTTCAGAGGCCTCCCTAAACTCACCAAGCATGCATGCACATGATCCAGGACTGCCTGTGGCAGAGCATGGATTGCCCTATAAAGACCCTGTTGGGGGATGCCTCCTCTTCTGTTTCTCTTGCTTATGGAAGAAATAAATAAGTTATGTTAAAAAAATTAAAAAATAAATAAACTTTAATAAATTGTGGCCAGCAGGTGGCATGGTGGTTGAAGTATAGACTCCCACATGGCTGACCATGGTTTGGGTCCCAGACCTGGTGGCTTGCTTTCTCACTTTTACTCTCTCCATGTCTTCTTTCTATTCAGATTTAAAAACAATAATAAATAAAAATGAGTAAATATTTTAAAAATTTAAAAATCCTTCCTTCACAACAGTCATTTCCCATTTCTGTGTCTGTGTCTTACCATTTATGATTAAACAAATCCTGGATACTTTTTTTTTTTTTTTTTTTTAAGGTTTTTGCCATAGGGCATGTGTGCTTGCTGGGGGAGAGACAGAGACAGTAAGGGGGAAAGTGAAAAAAAATCACCCTCACAGGGGGATGGCCATGCCACAATCCCTTCTCTTCCATTCTTCTCCAGGGATTTTGGATATACATGCACATGTGGCTGGCTTTTTCAAGTCACCTGATCTGGGACCAAACCACACTCAGCCATGTAGGAGTCCTGCATTGTAATCACTATGCCACCTGCTGGCTCAAATCCTGAGTACATTAATAAAAAGAATTATTTTATATACTTTCATTTATTATTATTATATTCTAATTTGATCAGAGAGAGACAGGGTGGGAGGGGAGTGAGAAAGCAAGCTACCAGGTCTGGGACTTGAAACACAGTCAACGATGTGAGAGTATAGTGCCTTAATCACCATGCCATCTGCCAGCCCTGAATCCTAGATACATTTAACACAATGGGAATGGGTGACTCACAGCAGGTACTTAGCAAGTGTGCAAAGCAGGAGAAGGAGGGAGCTTCTGAGACAGGAGGAGTAGCAAGACACGGTAATGAGCTCTCATTTAGAAGACTTCAAATCAAGTGGTTTAGGGATTTCCAGGAAAATTCAAAAATCCATTGGATTGTCAGAAAGGTCATGACACATTTTTGCAACAGATGGCACTAGTTCATTTTTGGAAATACTAGAGTCATTCGCATCTATGTTATTGCTATGTCATTTGACAGCTGACAGTTTTAACTTCATTCTAAAAAAAATGAGTGATTTAGTTGAGCTTTGGAGCTGAAGATGGAAGACAAAACTGCATTTTGCTGTTATACTGTTTTGCTTATGTAAAGGGAAGAATGTGCATCAAATTTGTGTAAAGTTGCATACAGTTACAGTGGCAATGCTCTACAAGAACATCAGTGCCAATGATGGTTCATAAATTGGAGGTGATTTTGATCTCAACAACACTCCTTGCTCCTTGGTCAGGGAGGCCCACTGAGGCTGATGACGACAAAATAAAGGCATTGATCGAGTCAAACCCACATTACCCAACACAAGAGACTGCAAAAATATTAAATATCCATCACTCAAGTGTTCAGGACCACCTGAAGAAGCTGGGATGCATAAGGAAGCTCAATATTTGGGTTCCTCATCAGCTCAAAGAAGTTCATTTGACAGTGTGTATAAACATCTGCTATATGCTCATTAAATGTGAGGAAAATGATGCTTATTTGAAGCAACTGATATCTGGTGATGAGAAGTGGACTGTCTACAGTACGGTGTACAAATAGTCTTCATCCTGATGTGATGATTTACTTCAAACAACATTGAAAGTAGACATTCATCAAAGGAAGCTTATGCTCTCAGTGTGGTGGGATTATTTATTTATTTATGTATTTGTTTGTTTATTTTGTTTTGGGCACATGTGCTCACTAGAGAGAGAGAGAAAGACAGCAAGCCACCAGCTCTAGGACTTGAACTGCAGTCAGCTATCTAGGAATCCAGCACCTTAATCCAGCACCACCTGCTGGCCCCAGTGTGGTGAGATTTTAAAGGTGTTGTGTTTTTTTTTTTT